ATCGCAAAATATGACCTTCTTAGTTGCGCGTAAATTTTCAACATGGACGAGCTTGTACGCTTAAATTCTGACAACCGAAATTATGCTTACAAACATCATGCTTCGATATAACGAAATACCCAAAAAAGTTAGTGAATAACCACTTGAAATGGAATGCTCTCACATATTGGAAAGCGAATGATCAAATGCAGAGCACAGAAAAGGTTTGGAACCCAATGCGCTGCAACTAGAGCACTTTTAGCTTGCCGCGAAGCGACCACACCTCCTTTGGTACTGGCTAGTCATTCAGGGTTGCATGTACTTCCATGCTGCACGCACACACTTTGCCGCAGTCCCTCACGTTGAGAAAAGCTAGATAAGGTAAGATAGATAAGCAGAAAAAGTGAAGAACAAACCGATTTGAATCTCTTTTTCTCCATCTCAACGGCGATTTCAGCTACAAGTTGTACAATTGACATTCCCAACGTGGGACATGCTCGGTAAACCTCGAGCTCCCTCTCGATTAAAACTGCTTCAACCTAAAAACGAGAAGTTACGAAAACGAAGAAAAACAGCGGGAGAATATGTATAAGGTTTGTTATTCTTAGTACCTACTAAATCTTGATTACACAGCCAACTAAGTTTACTGTGGGATTTGTGGCACATTAAATGTATTAAGAATAATCAGATACATATTACGCAACCTCCAGGAACATCTATCAATAGCTCTAATCTTTTCCCTGTAGAGTGCCCCAATAGCAGACCGCTTAGCGCTTACCATCGCACGATTCGCAAGCGATTTGAGCGATTATTAGTGTTCCACGACCCAAAAAAGCAGGTAGTTGCTCCCCAAGGTTCAATTATGCCCGAAGTCCCAATAGAGCTTGTGAGTGTAAAGTCTCTGCTCGAGTCGCTAGTGAATTGGGCGAATCTTTCAATGGTCCCAAGGCCTGATACCTGTCTTGGTCCTCACAAACCCAGAACATTATCTCATTGAAAAAATACAAATGAGTATTTTACACCTCTGTATAAGCCTTCGACTGGAAAACTGCAGAAGCGAGGAGATGGCGGCCAATGGCATTCGCACTTCCACTTTCCTCAAATAGCGACCATGATGTATATGAAGAGCAAATATCGATCTCAACCAAAGGGAACCTTGTCGTGAAGATCCAGTTTTTTGTCAGCTAGCTCAAACAGCTTCTCTACTGGCCATAACTCGTGGAATTCCGAGAAAAGAAGAACAAGAGCAGCTGAGTACCTGCAATGAAATATTTCAGGATCATGACGGAGCACTTGAACTCTGTCCCTTAAATCTGGTCTTAGGTTGATGCTTCTGCCTGCGCTCTCTCGCGGATCCCTTCCCTCTCCAAGGCTTAGTCCCAGGGCTTCACCCGTTCTCTAATCGTCTGTGCTCTCCGCCATTCGTGGCAGGACCATAGACGGAAAATTCAAGTAGTCCGTAAACCCAAGGTAACAAGTAGGTCAAAATTAGGGAAACTGAATAAATATTTGGAGTAACGGCAGAATTGATCTCCTACGGCAAACTTTACAGAACTGTCTCGTCTGTTTTAAATTGAAAATGTCATAGTGATCTAACTTGATCCCAGTTTTATTGGCACAAAAGCCAATACATCTACTTTTGCCACAATTTCTTTCTGACCAATGACTGATGCGAGAACTGTTGTGCAGGATCACGTCAGATTACCAGGTCCTCAGGATACCGAGATATGTCTAATGGTTCAAAGGCATTATATGAAATTGGTATTCCATTGTACCCAAACTTTCCGTATAATTAATCAGCCAGGAGAAAAAGTGAGTTCTGGAAGTCAAACAACAAACCCAAATCGCGCAGCTCCTCTTGGAGAACTCAACCCTGTTACTAGCCGTTCAATGCAGTAGTCTACGATTGACGAGTCAGATTTCTGCAAAAAATAAATTAGAACTGGGTGATGCACCCTGAATAATAATAAAAAACACTCACAGCTTTCAATAAGAGACGACCAACTGCATTAAATCGTTTATTAGCGTTGAGCTCTACGAGGTCGTAGAACTCGTTCAGGACGTCAGCAGCGGGACGCATCTCCAGATGCGAGAATTTGAGCAAGTAGTGCTGCTCTTTATGAATGTTCTCAGCAGAACTCACTCAAATAAGAAAAAAATCTAGCTGACGAGATAAGAATCTTCAGCGCGTAACGAAGGTAGCGGTAATTTTAATTTTGGACTACTGTCGATCACGATGGGGCATTTGCGGACGATATTTCCAATCACGTCAATTGCTACAATTTCCAAGATACTTTCGAAGATTTTGCATTAATGGTGCATCCCTTCTTCTGAAAATGTTGCTTTGATTCTTATTACGAACTATGCTGCTTGCTTCCAATATTTAGCTAGCTTCTATGTTTGTGCGGTTTCAGGGCATGGTACTACCTCAGTTGAAAGAAGCGAAGAATGTATTAACTCTTTACCACCTCCTTAATGCCCTTCTTTCCATCACTTTTCTCTGTACGAAAGGTGTTCCGGAAATCTGTCGATGGATATTCGTTTCCGAAGACGGAGAGTGTGCTCTTGACTCGGTAGGTTGTGTTGCTTTTTGTTCCATTACTCAGTTCAAGTTTAGAGTTACGGCATTTTGCCGCGGTCTTTTTTTTCGGTTTTTTTTAGCTACATTTTTCTCTTTATCAAATCAATTTATCAATTCAGCGAGAACGCGAGATTCTGATCTTTTTGGCAGTGATCATCGCATGGAAAGGAAGGAAAGCAACCAACTGGTTGCACTATATTAATAATGTATTTCTGTTTTCCAAAATAGCTAATATTGCTTTATTTCTCCGTGCAGACGCTTTCATTGGAATCATATATCTTCTTATTGTAGTCGGTAAGGTTTGCTCCCTTTATAGCTCCTGTGTTTTAATATTCTCCCTTTTGCAGTGATTACTGTGTTGATACCTGAACCAATTTACAGTGGTCCAGAGAAGGTCACATATTTTCAAGGAGCAGAATTATTTGTTAGTTACTGAAGATTCTTTATTCAACTTAGTATTCGAAGCGATTTTTTGCTCTTTCAGGAAGAGCTGGACAGAGATCGTAAATCAATCTTCGTTATTCAGTTTTACACCACATGGAGTCCTGATTGCAAGCATGCAACGCCTGTGTTCGCTCAACTTAGTGAAAGGTAATAAGTATTGCGATAGTTGTGTAACAGGACAACTCTGAACTCAATACTATTATATGAGTGAGTTCGATTGTTACGTTCGCAAACCTCTTTGTGGAGCTACTCCTTGTATTATTTGACATTTTCTCAAGAAGACTTCAAGTGAGAGTTTGAGTCTCTTAGGCCGAGGTCATAGTTCGTCGGGATTGATGTATTTTGCTTCGGATTTTGGTTGATTGCCTACCGCTGACTTATTTTCTGCTAAATTATGAGGCTCGAGCCAGTGAGCAAATTTTTGCATCATTCGGTTACCTTACGAAAGTGAAAGAAGTGGCTGTCTTCAAGTCAATTTATCTCACTGTTAACAACGACATTTCCGTTGCGGTAATGTCTACAATTGTGGTAATTGTTTGCCCCTTTCGAGAGCTTAAATTGTGTTACATATTAACTTCTGGATTAGTTGGGACTGATATGTTCATCTGATTTCATAATGCAGAGCGAGAAGGGAAAACCACCCTTCTTTCCACAAAAGGTTATTTATTGTATGCTTGCAGATTCTCACTGCCAAATCTGCGTTTTGGAAAACTTGACGTGGGGCGATGGCCGAAAGAGGCAGAGCGCTTCCGCGTCAATGCTCACCCCACATCTCGTCAACTGCCTACCATCTGCGTGTTCAAGTATGTTTCTCCTTGGCAAGAGTTTTAAATTTAAAGGCTTCACTTTGGTCTCAGTATTTTCCAAGTTTTCAGAGACGCTAAGGAAATAAAACGAAGACCACTTGTCAATGAGAAGAGACGAGCGATTCCATTCGTATTTAGCCAAGTTGGTCTTTCAAAGTTTAAACCTCCCAGTTTAGATTTAATCGTTTTTTTTGTTCTAGGATAATTGCATACTGGATTTCGACCTGTTAAACATACATAAGGAGTGTTTGGAGCGTTTGTCCTCCAAAGATCGGAGAGAAATCGAGGAGGAGAAGAAGTCGCAATGACCAGTGCTGTTTTGTTTTCTAGGTTCCATGCTGTACATACTAGAAAGGGAGTTCTAGTCTTATTTTTCAAATTTCATAGTAAACTTCCTAAGTGCGCTGCAACATCGATGATACTGTGGAAACAGAGGTTTTTTGAATATTGTCTCAGGTTGATCCTCAAGTTTTAATTTTGTTTCATGTCCTCTTTGTTCTCGTCCCACGTTTCGTATTTTTTTTTGAGCCGCTACACTGATTTGCAAGAGTATTGGTTTTTCAAAAATGTTATTATCACTCCTTGAACTGGATTATATCCTATTTTCGGGCGTTCTAATTGAACATCCTAGCCGTAATAAAAAATTTCTCATCATATGCTCCACGTTCTTCCGAAACTCATTGAGTGTTTTTATTTTAGTGGCAAGAGTGCTGATGTTTAGAGAAAGAAAGTTGGACTTCCTCAAAAGTAAGCCATTTGGTCATTACGCTCTGCTCTGGGGCCAACACAGGAAACATTTGAGAATGTTGTGCGGAATTCCCTCCATTAATGCTCAGGAGCCCACCGGAGCTGGAGGCACTGGAGATCGGCTTATCCATTTATCAACACGTTTATATTTATTACTATTATGTGTTTATAGACACATCCCACATTTCACTTGGGTAGGATCGTTTGGAAGACGGTGACAAATTCTGAGGGTCCGAATGGGCTGTCAAAACGGGGGAATGAGATAGGGATATCCGCTTTTAACGCGCGGACGCTTGTATCCGTAGCTGTTGAAGACCTGATGATGCAAGCCAGGAAGATCAAGTACGACGTCATCGGACTGACCGAGACGAGAAGGCACCGCCCGCTACACGCCGTTTTCGATACTGGAGAAGAACTGTTCCTTGGAACATGCGACAGCAGAGGCGTTGGCGGTGTGGGTGTCCTCGTCAACACGCACTTGGCCATAAACATCGATTCGTACGAAAGCCTTACGACCCGAATCGGACGTTTGAGATTGAGAAGATGGTTCAACTCCTGCTTTGACAATCTTCGTCGCCTACGCACCATCCAGCTACGACGAGGAAGAACACGAAGCATTTATATGGAATTGGAGAAGTTCTACAGGGAAGATCATACCTTCTTCAAGGTCATCGTCGGCGACTTCAACGCCAAGATTGGCCCAAGAAGAACGGCTGAAGAACTTCACATCGGTACTCACGGAATGGATTGGAATGAGCAGGGCGAAAGACTGTCGGAGTTTATCATGTCGACCAACACCATCCATGGTAACTCACAGTTCCAAAAGCCCTCTCACCTTCGTTGGACTTGGGAGTCACCTGATGGACAGTTCCATAACGAGATAGACCACATCATCTTCAATCGAAGGTTTTGCCTGACCGACGTCGCTGTTGTTCCAAAGTTCTACACGGGATCGGACCATCGTCTCCTCCGCGCAAGATTCCACTTCTCGATGCGTGTTGAGAGAGCAGCAAAGTTCAGGAAGCGAAGCCCCAGGACAGTCATCAACTGGGACCACTTCACTTCTTTTGTCAGCCTTATGGGAGGATTCCATTGACGAAAACATCGACGAGTCCGAGCTTGCGAAGCCATGCAGAAAGGCCAGTTAAGTAGATCTCAAGCGAAGAGTATAGTATTAACTGAAATAGCATGCCAGTTATGTTAGGAGACCAAAATGACCTGCTTGTAACGTCCGGATGGGACAGTTACAGCATTCCGAAACAGAATGCATTCGTCGTACATGCAGTTTCCCCTTTCTAATTGCCATCGAGTCAGTAAGAATCATACAGCCCTCTTCTTGAAAGTGTTACACCACAGCATCCGAAGAATTCATCTCGAGTTGTCATCGAAACTCTAAGTCATTCAATGCGTCGGAAAGTATACGAAGTATCCACGCAATGAAACCAGCAAGGAGAAGTGAAAATTGCACGACATCGGCAATTATTGCGAGGTCTGCTTGCTCCCTATAGTCCACAAACTATTTCCTCGATCATCCTTAACAGGGTTGGCAGAACATCGGAAGAAGGACAGCCATACGCGCGAGTAGGGTTTTGATAAGTCTCCAGCGACCACTTCCACATGGTCACGAGACTCACCGGTGTCGCAAGGGGTCAAGAGGCCGAATGCTTCCCGTTCAGTGACTTGAAAAAGGCCTTTGACTCTGTGGAGACGGAATCCCTCATCGCGGCCTTGGGAAACTAAGGTCTAGCTAGTCGCTTCTGTCTACGACTCATTACTTAAGGATTCTTCGCGAGCTCTACAACTACTCTACGACTTTAGGAGTAAAGGGCGCCCAGCTGCCCAATGGTCAGAGTTTTTACAAAAGCTCTGAAGGAGAATAATAATGAGATGCGTTCCACAGGCGAACGGAACCACTAGAGCACTCTGGCATGCAACTGGGACGAATAGAGATGTTACTGGTGCCCGTTCAAGGATCTACATATATGAACAGCGGGACGCCAGCTAAACAAAAGATATGCTTATGGAACGTGAAGAAATGGCAAAACAACCAAATAAACATAAGAAACTAAAGTTTGGGGCTAAGAAAGCAGATCTGGCATAAAACGAGGAAAGAACAGAAAACTGAAAGGAACTGAAATAAGCTAAAGGAATAATGGAGGATCACGAAATTTCGCATCGATTGTGTTTGAACAAAGTCGTGGTAAGGGGAATCAATCGTCTGAATGATGCTTTTCTGCTCTGGTATGGAGATCGAACGATGACTAGAATAAAACATAAAGGAAGTACAAGCAAATTTCAATAATTTATCTATTAAAAAACTCAGTAGTCAATCAAATCAGTAGTGAGGTGGGATGAAGGCAGTCCTTCCTATGATTACAACAACCTGGCGATTGAACTTTTTCCCACCATCCTTCTAATGAGGTCAACAAATGATGTTCATAACAAAAAGAAAACTTAGAAACAGTACATCGGGTCTCAGACAACAACACTCGGATCCCAACTCGCTTTGTGACACTTGCCGTTTTTCCACAATTTTTCTATGTCCTCCGGAGAAATGCGAACATCTTTTGCTGCAAAATTGGCGATCGTCCGTTCACGTGAGGTACTGCGTGGCAGTACGCTGATTGACTGTGATATTGCCCAGGACAGCAGGAATTGTGGAACGGTAATCTCGTATTTTGCTGCAAGTTCCACCACATCAGGATCACTGAAGAGCTCTTCACGATAGTCCGGTCCTCCCAGGCTGCTGTAGGCCTGAAAGGGGGAGCTCAAGTCATAGCCGACTAGAAAAAAAATTAAAGATTAAAATTTCAGGAACGGTATGCGAATTCTGGGACGATAGTGCGCGAAGTGAACGGGGCGGCTCTCGTGCGAGATGGCAACGGGAAATAAAAAAGGCAAGATCAAAAACTGTGAAGTCATGGTTACAAATAGACCAGATTATCCAGGCTAGCCGCGCTGCGAACGCACGCCACAACCATTCATAAACTGCACAATCAATAATAATGAAATTATTGCAAGACGTAATAATTACCTGGAAATGAATGTCGTGTGACATACAGTAGTCGTAGAGATCTAACTGATGAAAATGCGGATGAAATTCGACCTGACAATTAAAAATATTTCGGAAAACAAACCAATCAAGAATTTCCTCCACTGTACCTGATTCACAGCCGGGTGGACTTTACAGTGCTCGAGTAATTCCTCCAAGTGTCGTATCTCATAGTTTGACACCCCAATTGCGCGCAGTTGACCGTCAGCTGAAAAGTTTTCATTTTTAAGAATAGAACTTAAACCAATATGTGCGTGTCCAGCACCTCTGAAACGACCAAAGTCAATCGAGTTCAAACTTGCTTCTTGGCTTTTTTTGACTACAGTTTTTCTGGCGCCTATGTACGAGGAATTGTTCTAATGACCAAAATTAAATTTTGCTGGGGACAGCACCCATGTCGGGTTACTGTAAGAAACCATCGCCCGAACACAGTGATCATTCAGGGGTCTTCGAAAGTATTAATGTGGGCTGGCATAAGCAAATGAACAAAAAAACTGAACAATCGACGTTGATCAATCCCTCTTCGGGATGCGCAGCACCTCAAATCTTTCACATGGCATCCGACCGTACAAATTATGTGTCCGACGTGTGAAATCCGACGGCATTTAGGTATACGACGTGAATTCAATGGTATCCGGCCTATGGAGTGACTATCATGGGCGAGTAGATGTGAAAGCCAGTGGTTTTTTTATAGTCCTAGACCGAATTGGTACCAAGCAGCGGACTATAGTGGGTTAGGAATCTCGCTGATCGCAGCAAAATCCGATCCGGGGCTTGAATACCGGAGCGGGTGCATGACAGTCGGCCCTTTTGCTACTACACTATCTCCACTCAGGCCAAGTTATCCATAAAACCGCTTGGCTTCCAACATTGCCGAGTCTTGGCCTCCTTCCACCGTCACCTACTTGATGGTGCAAGAACATCTAGTCTTCATTCGGGTCAAGTGCACACAGCTGCTGAAAAGGGTTTGGAGAGTCCTCAGAACGTCTAGGATTCATTGGACACCTACCACTTTTGGTTTCCCCTCAATATGATTTCCAAGGTACAATTTAGCTTGTGGCGGATTTAACCCACTAATTCTTAAATTATTATTAATATAACTCTTTCTATTCCTAAAGAGTGCCAAATAACCTCAAAAATGCCATTCTTATCAATTTCGAGGTGGTGCAAGACACTAAGTACATCCATGGGGAAAACGTATGGGGAAACCGTAAAGCAAGGTTAGCGTAGTTGCAGGGTTCATGAGCGCTTCTTGGATTGATCCATTAACTTGAACAGTGACAACATTTCATACACTAAATTCCAACCAATTACACGAATAGTTTCCAACATCCCTACCATGGAACTGCTCCAGAACTTCGTAGGTCTGCTTACGGCGCTCGGCATTTTTCGGGTCGTCCACCGGTTTTCCACTGGTGCCAGGCCAATGAATCAACATCAGATCAATATAGTCGGTTTGCAGATTTTCTAGTGAGCTGGAAATTTCACAGTTCAATTGAATTGTAACAGATGAGTTAAGAAGCAATACGGTACACTAAGCGATCGAACTGACTGACGTCTCTATGGATCTTCTAGCCAAGCTGGTGCCTTGATTTGATGGGGAGACTTTGGAGGTAATAAAAATATCTGACCTAAATCGAGTAATGATATAAGCACGCGAACAAGTTTAGAACGAAACCAAGTGCATTTTTTGGCTACACTTCATCAGCTCAGTTTTTTGCATCGCCACAAAAAGTACGACGAAATACACGAATCGCCCCCTGTGCAAGGACCACCCAGACAATCTGCCTGGTCTGAAAACCCTCCAGGTGTCCGTCAGCATAAATAAAGGATAAAGCATTTGCCGTTGATCAATCCCTTTTTGGGATGCGGCACGCATTCTACTTCCATTTGTACATTCGTAGTGGCGTTTGAATGCGATGTGGCCTATACAATGACTTGCGGGGCCAGCCGATGTACAAGTCAGTGTTTTTATCCTCCCAGACAAGTCTGGTACCAATTAACCGACCCCGGAGGGATGGAAGGCTTGGTTGGCCCGGGCGACTCACGACCCAGGATTTGATCCCCGGACCGCTCGCGTGGTAAGCGTGCCACTTGCCACTACACCACTTCCGCCCTGTCAGAGTTAGCATGAAAAAAGCTGACATAGCTGATATAGGGACCTCATCCATCGAGGCGCACCTTTCTTATGCTGCTAATGCTGACAAGCCCACCATGGGGTTTCCGTGGCAAAAAGAGTAACGCCCGAATGCAGCGAATAACCTTCCTCTTTGTTCTCAAATCTTGGAAGTCATAAGCTTAACGGAATTCAAGACAAGAACTAAGGTCAAAGAAGGGGAAAATTGCATAGATGAGAGATAGGCGCACCTCCTGAGGGTGCTGACGCGCAATTGGCAGCTAAAGATTTGACCTAGGTGATCGAGCATGGCACATTCTTGGCGCGGCGCTCGCTCGCAACCTTCTAATCACTCGCCGCAGGCCCATACGCGGC